ACATTAACATATTTGTATATTGCCAAACTATGAATCAATGGAAATGGCATAAAATAGTTACTACATTCAATAAGACGTATCAAACTCATAAGCAGTAAGTAGGCAAAACACCTAACATAATCTGGAGATGTGGCTCAGTAGGTAGAAAGCTTGCCTGGTATGCACAGTCTTGGGTTCTTGATAGCCTGACCTGCATAAAAAGGAGATATGATCAGGTATTCCAGGTCATCCTTGGCTACAGCAAGTTCAACAGTAAGTTCAAGGCCAGTCTGAGCTACATAAGAATCTGCCTCAAAAAAAAAAAAAAGGAATCAGCCCTAAAAGTATGTGCTCCTAACTCTACATAAGATTCAAGAACAGGTAATATTTTTTCACTGAGACAGAAATCACAATAAAATAGCTGCCATGGGGAGTCCAGAGTGAACATCGAGGTGCTGGGAGCTGGAAAAGCTCTGTGGTATTTCAAATAAGATGCTGCTGTGGTTCAGATAGAATTTGAAGGTGCCCTTCAAGTATTTGCACATTTAAATATGCTATGGTGTTCAGAGACAGGGCTTTGGGGAGGTGACTACAGTTAGACAAGGTGCTGAGGCTGTGTTCTCCAAGACGGAATCCTGGTGGCTTTGTAGGAAAAGAGAGGCCTAAAGAGACACACATGCACGTGCCCTGTCTTCCACACGATGCCCTGTGCCCCTCAGAACTCTGCTAGTGAGAAAGCCATTAGCAGATGCAGCATTTTAACTAACTTGGAGCTGGGGCCTGAGATACAGCTGTGGTTAGGAGCACATTTGCTGCTCTTCCAGAGAACCTGAGTTCAGTTCCCAGCAGCCACATGGCAGCTCACAACCATGCTTAACCCCAGTTCCAGGGGACCTGGTGCCCCGATTTGGCCTCTGGGGCACCAAGCACCCACTACATGTGTGCATACATAAAGCATAACACACACACGACATTAAAATAAATAAAATTTCAAAACTTTAAGCCAAAACAAATGTCTTTATAAAGTTACCCAGTTTCAGGAGGCAGGAGAATTGCTATCAACTAAAGCCAACCTGGCCTATGTAAGGAGTTCAAGACCAGCCCAAAATCCAAACATTGCAAAGCTTCTATCTTGGAAAAAAAATAATCATTAAGTTATTTAATTTTTTTAAGATTTGCATTTTACTGTTTCCACCACGTGTAAGTTTATTATCACAGTTTTGGAGCCTAGTGATCCAGAATCCAGGTCTTAGCAGAGCCAGCTCTGTGGAGGTACTGGGAAGGATCTGGTCCAGGCTCCTGGTTTCCCGTACCTCCTGTGCCTTGGCAATATAACTCCATTCTCCACTTGACTATCTCCCGGTGGGCATGTCTGTGCCCAGATTACCTCCTCATTATTTGACATTGGTTGTACTGGAATGAGAGTCTTCTCCATTCTACTGAGACCCATCTGAACTAATCCCACATTCAATGACTCACATTCTGAAGCATTAAGAGTTTCGACTTCCACATACTGTGTGGGACACGATCTGATCCATGGCAGGTGAGTGATGATACTCTTCTTGGAGAGTTAGCCAACACTGGCAACTGCTGGGGAATGTAAGTGCTGTGGTCCAGCTGGTCTCGTGAATGGAGAGTTAGGGAAGACATCAGGCTTGTAAGTGGTGATGGAGGGCAAATGAGTTTGGATCCCATCTTCTCAAATAACAGCTACTGTGAGTTGAGCATCAGCTGAACAGCTCTAGGATTTGCATACACTCTATCACATCAACCGCAAGCTCACAATGTCCTGAGAGTAAATTCCATGCCATTTCCAGGCTGTGGATGTAGAAACCTTGGAGCTGCCCAAAAACATACAGCAAGAAAGTAGCAAAGGGCCAGTAAAGTGCCTGCCACCAAGGCTGGTGACCTAAATTCCATCCCAGGAACCCACATGATGGAATGAGAGAGCCACCTCGTGCAAGTTGTCTTCTGACCTCCACATGTGCACTATGACACTTTCGTGGACTCACATACACATAAATGTAACAAAAAAGAAAAGAGGCTGGCAGGCAGTGGTGGTGCAAGCCTTTAATCCCAGCACTCAGGAGGCAGAGGCAGGAGGATCTCTGTGAGTTCCAGGCCAGCCTGGTCTACAAAGAGAAACCCTGTCTCAAATGAAGAGCCAAAGCCAAGATCTAAGGCCCCCAAGGTCTCCTTCCTGACCCTGTTTCTCCACCTCTAAAATGAGGCTGAAACAGAATCATGGAGATTGAATGGGACAGTCTTCCAACTGGCACCTGGCAGGAGAAGGCTAAAGTCTGGGGTTTGCCTCCTTCGGTCCCAGAACTTGTGCAGACAGGTTTTTTGTGACCCTTCTCAGAACAAAGTGAGCAACATGCTCTCTCCTCTAAGCCAGTTTGCTTCGTTGTGGCAGATGTGTAGAAGGCTGGACACATGCCAGCCCTTCTGCTACTGTCCCTGGCTTTTCCAGGGATGGGAAAGCCATTCTGGTCCCCAGAACAGAGGAAAGCATCCATGAAAATGGAATGGTGGAACCTAGCCTGGAGGCGCAGGCTTAATTCCTGCTCTCTGGGAGACTGAGACAGGAGGATCACAAGTGCAATGCCTGCTTGGGCTACAGAGGAAGTAAGTGTAAAAAAGGGGGAGCGGGATCAAGCATGTGTGTGGCTCTATGGTAGAGCCCTTGTCTAGCATGTGTGAGGCCCTAGATGATGGATGGACACAATGGCTGATGAGCTGGAAGGGGGAATGATGAAGAGGAGAAAGTGGAATAAAGAATAGTGTGAGTAGAACAGACGGGACAGGGCAGGCTCGCGGCTCCTTTGCCTCTCTACCAGAAACGCAGGCTTCACCAGGCTTCACGGCTTGCTCACCCTCAGGTTGCTGAGCTCTAAGGCTGGAGAGCGGAGAGCGACAGGGCGGGGCAGCTGGGGCGGAGGCACCCAGCGGGGCGGTCCCCCAGTCAGCTCAACTCCAGCTGCAGTCACTCGGTCACTCGGGTGGTGCTGGCTTTGGCGCCACAGCCGAGACCCAAGACGTACAAGAAGCCCGCGGCGCTGCGGGAGCCTGAGCCAGGTGAGTGCAGAGTGGAGCGTGGTGGCAGGGGAAGGAGAGCCAAGAGGACCTGGGATGGGGATCCGCCCCCATCCATCTGCTGTGTGGGATGTGCTCAGACGGCCACCAGGAGGCCTGGGTCCCTGCCACTCCCGAACCCTTTCATCAAACCCAGCCTCGCTGGTGTCTCCATGGACCTAGATTAAGGACCATATCCCTTAACTATTTTCATTTTTTGTTAACTTTTAATACTGCTACTACTACTCTGACGACTACTATGTGATTACTGTGTGTGTGTGTGAGAGAGAGAGAGAGAGAGAGAGAGAGAGAGAGAGAGAGAGAGAGAGAGAGAGAGAGAGAGGGAGGGAGGGAGGGAGGGAGGGAGGGAAGGGGAGAGAGAGACAGAGACAGAGACAGAGACAGAGACAGAGACAGAGATGGGGAGCACTTGCCACTGGGCATGTGTGGAGGACAACTTTGTGAAGTCGATCCTTTCTACTCTCCTCATGGATCCAATTCACATAGCCAAGCTGGCAGAGATGACCCATCTGGTTGGCCGTGTTACTTGTTTTTTTAAGACTGTAGTCCAGGCTGGCCTGAAACTTACTTTGTAACGCAAACTGGCCTCAAACTCACGGCAATTCTGCTGCGTAGGTCTTTGAAGCCCTGATATTACATGTGTGCATCATCACCACAGCCAACTTTTTGTTGTAACGCTTTCACAATCCTCTGATGTTTTCTGGGCCTCAGTTTCCATTTCTGAGTAATAGGAACAGTAGTTTATACTTCCTGAGATTGCCAGGAGAATTTAGCCCTGCCATAACCAGGTTCACTCCCAGCTTAGCTATAATGCTCCCCTGAGGAACAAGCCCCTGTTTATTCTTCTAACAGTTAGTCAGGCACTGTTCCAGGCACGGGAGATGCCAGTCAGCAAACCCTTCACGCAGCCTGTATTGATTTGCAATGACTTTGGTATCTGCTCTCTTGGAACCACTGTAAGGAATTTGGAGCAGTCAGTAATTTGGGCCCATTTCATAGCTGTGCATACTGAGGCACAGTGAAGTTCTAAGCATTTTGCCCAAGCGCACACTCAGCCTTTGCCACCATAACCCATATACCCTTCCCGAGAAGAGTCATTTGGGCCTTGGCGAGGTGTCTTCCCTCTGAAGCTATATCCTGTCTCCTGGTTGAAGGGCAGTGTGGGAGATTAGAGATCGTCTGTAACAACTCTAGCTTGGGATGCCCCTCCCCAACACTTATGTGGGACATGGCTGCATTCCTGTCCCAAGACAAACAGGATAATGATGGAGGAGACACAGGCATAGTTCTTATAACCATCAGGGTCCCTGTCCTGTGACCACCACAAGCCGCAGCTCATTGAACAGTCAGTCAACAAACATCTGCTCTTTTGTGAAGCCATTATGCGCCACGCAGGCCGTAGCCTGGTTCACAGAAGGCCTGCAGTGCAGTGGCTGCTTCTGTAGTGTTAATGACCCGGCCCGTGGTCTAGCCTGAGGCTCAGGTAGATCAGAGTAGGAAAGACCATGGCAGTTGACTGAGCCCGGGTTAGCCACAGGTCTAGAATAAGGAGGACAGGATTCTCAGTGCTGGTCCCTGGGGCCCACCCACCTGACCTGGAAGGCTGCAGGGGCTTGGACAGACAGTGTGGTGTCCGCCAGTGGCTCCTGGGGCAATTGTATCAGGAGTAGCTGCAGACTTGGGGATCACAGACAAGTTTCCAGGTACGGAAGCCCCTTAAGTCCCACGTGGTTCCTCCTCTCTCCTCTTCCTCTTCACCCTTTTGTCCTCTCCTTCCTCATCCTCCTGCTCCTCCTCTTCTCCCTTCTCCTCATCCTCTTCCTCTCCTTCCTCTCCCTCTCCTCCTCTCCCTTCTCTCGCTGTCCCTCCTTTCCTTCATTTTCCTCCTCCTCTCCCTCCTCCCTCTCATCCTCTTCTTCCTCTTTCTCTTCTCTCCTTCTGTTCCTTTCCCCTCCTCTGCCTCCCTCTCCTCTTCTTGCCCCCGATTCCTAGTCAGATAACACCACACCCAGAATGTGAGGCCCCCTAGGCATGACTGATGCTGCCTTCCTCTGGTGCTACACGGGGCCTGTGGGGAAATCAGGGGTGCTTAGTGTATACAACATGATTCTGAGCCTCAGTCTCCCCAGCTGTGAAGTCAAAGACAGGCTGCCTTCTCTGACTCCCTAAGGAGCGAGTAGCCACATGAAGATTCTTAGAGCTCAGGAAGTCTGGAGCCCTGAAAGATCTATGAGGCTCAAGCTTTCCTAAAGTTCCCCCTTAGTCCTAAGGACCTGCTAAGGTGTGCCTTGGGGTGGCCCTAGAATATTCCTGTTTTCCTCCACAGGTGACAGCCTCTAGGCTGCATGGCTGCATAGAGGATGAAGACCAACCCTGCGGGCTCCTCACTAGAAACCTGTCAAGCTGCAAGCCAGGTGGAGAAGGGCTGCACTGTCTGCCAGGCCTGTGGAGGGATCGCAGGCCTGGGGTCTGCTTCAGGGTTGGGATCAGGTCTTGGGCCAGGGCCTGGGACTGTCCCAGGGTCTGTGCCAGGACCTAGCACTACCTCTGTGACTAGCCTAGTACCTGGTGCTACTTCAGGGCCTGCTGCTGCTCTGGGGCCTGCTTTAGGAGCGGGACCTTTACCTGGACCAGGAGCTAGGTCTGGACCCGGGCCCGGAGCTGAGTCAGTACCTGGGCCAGCACCTCAGCCAGGAGCTGGGACAGGAGCTAGGCCAGTACCTCAGCTAGTAAATGAGTCAGTACCTAGGCCAGGACCTACACCATTACCTGGGCTGGGGCTAGGGTCTGGGACCAGACGAGGCTCTGGGACTGGTTCTAACCCCAGTGAATCAGTGACAACCCCAGAACCAGCACAACAGCAGAAGACTCAGGCCAAACCCACACAGGCCCCCAGACAGAAGGTTCTGGTGACTGGAGGAGGAGGCTACCTAGGCTTCAGCCTGGGCTCCAGCCTGGCCAAGAGAGGCACTTCTGTCATCTTGCTTGACCTCCGCAGACCCCAGTGGCCGCTACCCACAGGAACCGAGTTTATCCAGGTACAGAGATGGGGACCGTGGAGGGGGCTGCTGCTGGAAGTGCCAGTGCCAGTGGTGGCAGAGCTCAGGTGGACAAATTCGGTGTGAACCAGCAGTGGAGTTTGAGATCTCAGGCTGTGAAGACAGATTTAGCTCCAATTCTTTATCGTTTTTTAGAAAAAAAAATTGGCTTTGTTTTTGTTTTTAGTTTTAATTTTGTTGTGACAGGGTTTCTCTGTATAGTCCTGGCTGTCCTGGAACTTACTCAAGGTTGGCCTTGAACTCAGAGATCCACCTGCCTCTGCCTCCTGAGTGCTGGGATTAGAGGCATTCACCACTCCCACATGGCTTTATTTTTAGATTTTTGTTATCACTGTGCATGAGTGTGTGTGCGCATGTGATGTGAGTGTGTGGGGATGTGTGTGATGTGTGCATATATGATTACTCGTGTGTGTGATGTATGTGTGCACATGTGATGTGAGTGTGTGGGGATGTGTGTGATGTGTGCATATATGATTACTCGTGTGTGTGATGTATGTGTGCACATGTGATGTGAGTGTGTGGGGATGTGTGTGATGTGTGCATATATGATTACTCGTGTGTGTGATGTATGTGTGTGCATGTGATGTGAGTGTGTGGGGATGTGTGTGATGTGTGCATATGTGATTACTCGTGTGTGTGTGTGTGTGTGTGTGTGTGTGTGTGTGTGTGTATGATGTATGTGTGCGCATGTGATGTGTGAGAGAGTGCAGTCGTACCTTTGCCAGAGGAACGCTTTCCAGGGTTGGTTCTCTCCCTCTCCCGTGATGAGGCTGGCCTCTTGTTTCTGCTTCTGTTCTGCGCACTCCCATCTGGCTAGCCTAAGAGCTTCCAGGCCCTTTTCTTGTCTCCACCTCCCTTCTCACCACAGGAGTGCTGGGACTGCAGATGCAAGTCACCTCGCCAGCTTCCTGTGGATTTCCAGGAGTCAAACTCTGGTCCTGCAGCCTGCGAGCAAAGTACGGTCTTAGCCGTCCGGCCACCCTCGGCTCTCTTAGCCGTCCGGCCACCCTCGGCTCTCTTAGCCGTCCGGCCACCCTCGGCTCTCTTAGCCGTCCGGCCACCCTCGGCTCTCTTAGCCGTCCGGCCACCCTCGGCTCTCTTAGCCGTCCGTCCGGCCACCCTCGGCTCTCTTAGCCGTCCGGCCACCCTCGGCTCTCTTAGCCGTCCGTCCGGCCACCCTCGGCTCTCTTAGCCGTCCGGCCACCCTCGGCTCTCTTAGCCGTCTGGCCACCCTCGGCTCCAACTCTTGCCCTTCCCAGCTTAGTCACACCTCCGTGAGCCCAAGTCTTTATCCGCAAAGAGAAACAGCAATCACATGTGTTTTACTCAAAGGGAGTCAGTAAGATTGTGCCTATGAAACGCCCTGGACCCAAGAGCAGAACGAGAAGGGGCAGCAGCTGAGATGCTCTGTGGAGTTGGTAAATCCTGGCCCGGATGCTTAGCCTGGGCTGAGTCACTGCCTTGGACGTGAACCTCTCACTCCTGTTTCAGGCTGATGTCCGAGATGAGGAAGCCCTGTACCAAGCCTTCCAGGGGGTGGACTGTGTCTTTCATGTGGCCTCCTATGGCATGTCTGGGACTGAGAAGGTGAGACTCCCACACACAGAAGGATGTCACTACTATTTATGTCACAAGCTCTTTAGGGAACACTGTAGCAGTGTCTACCAAAACATATTCCATTTGACTCAAATACTTATTTACATATTCATAGCACTGTTTTTAATAATGAAACACCAGAAATAATGCAGTGGTCCATTAGTTATCGAAGTAAGTTAGAGCAGGTGTAGCATGAAATTCTATGCAGTCATTCAAAAGAATGAGAAGACTCAAAAGTGTTGATAACCTGGCAATCTCAGAAGTTCAAAATAGTGTTTGGTATCCCCTATTTACCTTAAAGAAAAGCTAAGAGCCAGCAAGAAAAACCAACCACCTTTAATCCCAGCACTCAGGAGGCAGAGGCAAGAATGTCTCTGTGAGTTTGAGATCAGCCTGGTCTACATAGCAAGTTCTAGGACTGCCAGGGCTACATAGAGAGGCCTCCTCCCCCTCCCCGTCTCCAAAAAAAGTGCCTGCTGCCAAGCTTGATGACCTCAGTTTGATCCCTAGGCCCACGCTATGGAAGAACTGACTCCTACAAGCTATCCTCTGGCCTTCACCTGTGTTCCATGGTCCCCACACACGCATGGGCACAGGCATGCACATGCAAAACATAATAAAAATGTAAGAAATATTAGCTGGGCATTGGTGGCGCACGCCTTTAATCCCAGTACTTGGAGGCAGAGGCAGGCGGATCTCTGTGAGTTTGAGGCCAGCCTGGTCTACAGAGTGAGTTCCAGGACAGCCTCCAAAACAATACAGAGAAACCCTGTCTCGAAAAAAAAATGTAAGAAATATTTTAAAGCTAGGACAAATGTTTATATAAATGCACGTGGATACATGATGATGTTAAATATAGGTTTCCCATACAAATGTACAAAACCATTAACAGCAGTTCCCTCTGGAGAGGGCAGAGGAAGACTTGGCATCTATTGATTAGATAGCTTTTTTAAGTTTTATGTGTGTGGGTGTTTTGCCTACATGTATGTCTGCACATCACATGTGTGCCTGGTGCCTGAGGAAGTCAGCAGAGGACATCAGATCTCCTGGAACTAGATTTACAGACGGTTGTGAGCTGTCATGTGGGTGCTTGGAACAGAACCCAGGACCTGGGAGAGCAGCTAGTACTCTTGACCACTGTTTGAATTATTTTTAACCTTGTAGTTGTTTTCTCCATTAAACAAAAAGCACCACGATAAGAATATAGTTTTGGCTGGGGACGTGGCTCAGTGGGTAAAATGCTTGCTCAGCATGTACCCTGGGTTGGATCTCCAGCAACACCAATAAACCAGATACGGTGGCACATACCTGTAATCCCAGCACTTGGGAGGTGGAGGGAGGAGGATCAGAAAATTCAAGGTTATCCTTGCCTGTTAGCTTGTTTGAGGCCAGCCTAGGTGATATGAGATACACTGTCTCAAAGAAAAATAAATATAGTTTGAAAATATAGAACATCACATTTCCCAGTGGGGTCAAATGAGGTCTGGACTGGACTGTTTGCTGGGTGCCTGGCACGTCAGAACCTATCATTGCAAACCCATTCTTTGTTTACACTCCAGTGCCCTCTCTGGGGCATGGTCACATCACTACATTTGTCTCAGATAAGGGGAGACTTGGGGAGGCAGAAAACAATCCAACCTATTAGCAGTCACTTATCCAGGCAAAACTTTATGTCAGCTCCTGCTCCCTGCTCCAAGTATCCTTCAGTGAGAATCTGCTGACCCTGAACCCAGCCCACACCTCAACCACAATACTGAAGGCAGCATGTGACTTCCTGTTTCCCTCTTGCCTTTTAGCTACAGAAACAGCAGATTGAGTCTATAAATGTCGGAGGCACCAAGCTAGTGATTAATGGTAGGCCCTCAGAGTGGAGTGTGGCCTGCAGTGTGATCCCTCCTCTTCTTTCTCCTGCCACTGGCCTGGCTCCAGGGTGGGGGCTGGGAGTGAGGGCAACAGAGGCAGGACCCCCCCCTGCCCTACCTACACTGTACCAACTGAGGCCAGTGGGAGGTAGACTATCTTCCCTGTTTAGACCTGCTCAGGGCCCTGTAGGGGCATCAGCAGCCTTAGTGTGTCTAGGAGTTGAGGAGGGCACTGAGGAAGGTCACGGAAACGTCAGACGGAAGATTCCTGTTGGACCCTCTGGATGGATGTGTCCAACCTTGACCTGTGCTCTCTCCGGGTCTAGAGCATCTTTTCTATCTGTCCCACCAAGTGAGCCTTTTCTTCTGACCTGCCCAGGGGGCCAAAGGCACATCAGGAGGAGTAAGAGGCCCTGGCCTCACATCCCAAGTTGAGGTTGGAGACTTTTCCTTCCCTGGCAGGACGTTAAGGCTGAGTAGAAATGTGTGGATTTGCCCACAGAGGTATTTTCTGAGTTCCTCCTTAGCTAGCTCCTTGCTCACAATCTGGCTATGGCCCATATGTGTCTCCTGCAGTCTGTGTTCGTCGGCGTGTCCCAAGGCTTGTGTACACCAGCACAGTCAACGTGACATTCGGTGGGAAGCCCATAGAGCAGGGCGATGAGGACTCTGTCCCATACTTCCCCCTGGACAAGGTACCAACTTCTGGGAGATGGGGCAGGGTGGTAGGCTTGGAAATGACTGCCCAAGCACAGGTATGGATGGAGCCAGGTCCGTCTCACAACTCAGGGTGCATCCCAGCAGAATGGACTCCCAAGCTGAGTGGTACAAACTGCCTCCTATTCAGTCTGTCTTGCCTGGGGAGGCTTCAAAATCAAATAGACCTGGCATTGGGCCCACCCAGCCTGGCACCTTTCACTTCTGGGACAGTTCAAGTTATCATGCACTCTGTTTCTTCACCTAAGCCTGATAACACCATGGAGGGGATTTGTAGAGAGCAGGAAATGAGATTATGTGTGAAGATATCACAAGAGTACTAAAGGATGATATATCACCAGATCATCCAACCTGTATCTGACATCAGTGTCACAGGGCAGATGTTGCAGACTGGCAGGCGCTTCCCTGAGTCAAGACTATGCAGCCATAGGGTAGACCAAGCCTAGATGGGCCAGCATTGCCATCAACATAATTGAGCTCGTCTAGTGACTGTGTTCTTCTTGTCCCCTGGCAGCACATGGACCACTACTCTAGAACCAAAGCCATCGCTGACCAGTTGACTCTCATGGCCAATGGGACACCCCTCCTAGGTGAGTACCATGAGGCCTGCTTGTAACAAGCATGCCTGCCTACCGCTGCCTCTCTGAATTGTGTGTCTGAGACACTATATCCTTCCAAGTGACATCTCCACATGGTGTGGGCCTTTGTCCTTCAGTGTGTTCTGAGCACCTGCATGTTCCTCCCCAATCAGGACACAGCCCAGACAGTCAGAGCCTCTGCTTGCAGCCTGGTGAGGATAAGACTTGGATAGCCTAACACTTGCTCTCCTTGCTGTCTTATGGGCATGGATTTAGTTTTGACAGCTTCCTTAGCATTATGAATGTGCGAAGGAGCTATATAGCTCTTTGGAAGGGAAGTGAGAGGATTCTGCACTTAATCTTCAGTAACTTCTCAGAAAAACCTACCTCAGCTGTCTCCCCGCATCCTCTCCTCTGGCTTACAGAGCAGCGACAATAAAATAGGAACTGTCCACACTTATGTGCATTCTTCATGTCAGGCCCTAGTTTTGCATGCTAATTTCATATGCGAAGGTTCATTCACTTTGTATTATTCCTAAGTGGGGGATGGCATTTAGACATCCCTGTCTTCCACACAGGAGCTAAACCCATTCAGACAGTTTGCTCGCCAGAAATCATTGTTACTGTTTTTCTAAAAATTAGAAGCTAAAAGAAAACAGCCAACAGAGTTTCTCTTTATTGTCGAAAGTATCTGTCCAGGTCAGGTGTGGTGGCATATGCCTTTAGTTCTAGCAATGGGGAGGCAGAGGCATTCAGATCTTGAGTACAAGGCCAGCTTGGTCTACATAGTAAGTTCCAGGCCAGCCAGAACTACGTAGATAGACCCTGTCTCACAAAAGAAAGAAAGGGGGAGAGAGAGAGAGAGAGAGAGAGAGAGAGAGAGAGAGAGAGAGAGAGAGAGAGAGAGAGAGAGAGAGAGACCTGTCTCAAAGAAAGAAAGGAAAGAAGGAAGGAAGAAAAAAAGAAAGAGAGAGAGAGAGAAAGGGAGAGAGGGAGAAGTTTATCTGTTGCCTGGTCTGGTAGCAAAGTCCTTACATACTAACTACTCAGGAGATTGAGGCAAGAAAATCACAAGTTCAAGGCTTGCCTGGGCTACAGAGTGAGTTCAAGGCCAGCCTAGGCTATGTAACAAGATCCTACCTCAAGAAAACAAAAAGTTAAAAAAAAAAAAAGGCCAGGATATAGCTCAGAGGTAGAGAGCTTGCTTAGCATGAAGCCTGTGTCCCACCTCTCTAGTAGCATTGAAAAAGACAAACAAACGTGAGAACCAATCAGATTTGGAAAACAAGAGAGGCTTGAAAGTATAGCCTCCAGCTTACAAGTAAGGAAACAGAGGCCAGTTAGCTGGCTTTGCTCAAAGTCACACAGCATTGAGCAGCAGAGTCATACTTTGAAGCCCAGGGGAGTCTTAGGGCCGGAATCCAGGTCCTACCCACTGTGCTACTTTAGAGGCAGAGAACAAGGTCCCTGCCTGCGTGTGGGCTCTTTTCCCTCCAATATTCCTGCTTTCCTTACTTAGTCTGTGAGTCCTTGACCCCTGATCCTAGTGTGTACATCCTCCGTGTTCCCCAGGATTTGATCTGGTGCAGGTGAATTCCCTTCTCTGCCAGGGCACAGCCTCCTTCACCTACTGCCAGGCCAGGCACCTAATCCCGTGGTTGGGAATTATTTATATGCACATCCCCAGCTTTCAACGCTCCAAAGAGTCATGGATACCCTAGGCCTGCCCCTCTCTGACGTGGCTACCCAATGTCCCACTGGCCACCATTGACTATAACCTGTCCTCCCTCCACCATGCCCCCAGGGACCCAGAGTTTAAACTTAGCAGTAGGTCACAGAAAAGCTCAGCTGACACCTGCCTTCCAGGAGGCTGTCCACGGTCACCAGGGGTGATTACAGCGACCTGAGATCCAGGCTAGTCCTGAGATGGCCCTCACTTGAGCTGGGTGCCAGAGTCCTAATAAGTAGGTCACAATGCCTTGTCAGGTGCCGTATCCTCTTGCGCCTGCTTGTGTGAGTGTCCTGTGACTCCCATAGTGGCTTAGAGCATCTTGCCGTCTAAAAGCTAGAGCCTGGAATCCTGGCGTTATCTGGTGTCAGCAGGTAGAACTATGTCTGAAGGTTCTGGAGAAGGGGCCCTCTGTCTCCTCCAGCTTCAGGTGGTCCCGGGTGACCCTTGGCCTATGACTACAAAACTCCAGTCCTTGCTTTACCTTCATGTGGCCTCTTTATCCTCTGTTGGTCTCTCTACGACACTTGTAATTGGATTAGACCCAGCTAAAAATCTATGATGATCTCAACTCACCTATATCCTTAATTACAAGCTTGAAGCCCTTTTCCAAAGTCACATTGGCAGGTTCTAGCATGTAGGCATATCTTTCAGGGACTACTCTATCATCCATGATGCTGGGCTTCATTGTAAAGGGAGGGGTGTTTGGTGAAGATGGAAGCCACTGGCCCTGGCTTGTTCATGGGGAAAGGAAACACACGATGGAAGTGCCTGGAAACAAGATGTGAAGAAAAAAACAGCCACCTGGTTGAGAAAGCACAGGTCATGGATAGATAGCTCAAGGGCCCTGGCTAGCAGAGTTTACAGCCAGTGACCTCAGGGTTTGTGGTCCTAATTCTGATGATGCTGAGAGTCACTTCCAGGTGAGAACATCTAAGAACACCACCTTTAAGGACCTCTGTAGGGGGCGGGGTCCCCAAAGAAATTGGGCTGCTGGAGACACTATCTACACTGGGCCTTCCGTGCTGAATAAGGAGCAGGAGGTATAGACGGCTTTGGGCTCCCCATCCTCATGTGCTGTGGGCTCCTCAGCTCCATGTGCCACTCTTTCTTGTGTCCTAGGAGGAGGCACCCTCCGCACCTGTGTGCTCCGCCCCCCCAGGGATCTATGGCCCTGAAGAACAAAGACACCTGCCCCGGGTGGCGGTATGTCTTCCCGGCTTTCCTAGCTCCAGAGGCAGAAGGAGTCAGGTTGATGTGGTGTGCGTGTTGGTTGGACCTTCTCAGCTTTACATCATTGCATCTGTCTAGGGCAATGTCCCCACCAGAGACGCCCTGTGCTGGGAGCTTATGCCTGCCAGCTCACAGTCCCTCAGACTTAGCAAGGTCAAAGCTCTCAGTGTGCCAGCCAGGCCTCTGTTCAGAGACTTTCATGTGGCTGCCCCAAGGGCTGAACAGTTTATCTCAGGCTGCCAGTGTTCTTCGTGCCAGAAAACTAAAAAAAATCCAGGCACTGAGACTACAGCCACAGGGGGCTCTAGGCCCCAATCTCCTCACAGCCTGGACAGGAAGACAGATCACACAGCTGTAACTTCAGCATAGTGAAGGCTGGGTAGAGAGATGCAAGAGAAAATGGGCCTGGCAGGGGAGACCCAGGAGGACTTCCTGGAAGAAGGGATGCCTGTGGTGTTTGGAAGGAAGAAAGAGGATTTTCTGATGAGCTGTGGTGATTAGACAAATGAGTAAGGAGCTTGGAGGAAGGACATGGTGAATGTAGTGTCAGTGAGAGGTCCCCACGGCTGGAGCTAATGGAGAACACAAGGCCGGCCATGGGGAGTCACTGAAGGTCATCTGGGGAGTGCGGTCTGGCCTACTGCTTCCAGTATTCCTTCGTTGAGTCCTTAAATGATGCCCTGTCACCTACAGTGACCTTTCCCCATTTAAATACTTAATCGAACCACTACTGTGTGCTCAGTACTGTTCAGACCAGCAAACAAAGCAGACAGTCCCTGCCCTTGTATGGCCTCTGTTCTCTCACCAGGAAATAGATTAAAATAGATCCACATGTTGAATTATAAAGAGTGATGGAAGGTGCCAGGCACAAAGGGAAAAAAGGAAAGATGGGTGGGTGGGGTGAGGGAATTGGGCTCCTGGGGAAGCTGGGAAAGTGCCTTGGAGAAAGCCGGGGTTTAGCCTCCAAGGGAGGAAGAAGCCAAGTGTGTCAAGCAGGCTTTTGCGGAAGAGCCTCCAGACAGGGGGCAGCTCTCCTAAGATTGTCCAGGGATACGCAGACAGCCTGGGGTCACAGCCACACAAGCGGGGGGAGGGGGTGCATGTCAGTAGCACGGGAAGCTGGAGAGTAGCTGGGATGGGTCTAGAAGGGACATTGTCAGCATTTCTGTGTTCATCATCACAGCCCATGTGCCTCTATAGTCTCCAGAATAGGGCCAGATACAGCTGTGCAGGGTAGATGGACGGTCAAGAAGCCGTTGTGGTTCCCAAGGCAAGCGAGGGGGGTGGCGGTAGGGGAGAATAGTGGTTGAATTCTGAACAGATGTAAGAGTTGGGGCAGCTGAGTTTACAAGTGTTTTGAGTGTGAGGCATGAGAGAAGTTAGGACTTCTGTGAGACAAGCAAGCAGAGATGTCCAGAGGACCTGGGGCATGGGAGTTGGAGTCTAGCCTGTTGCTGGCCCCTCGGAAGCCGTGAGCATGTAGATAGAGGGTAAACCACCCAGCTGAGACTGTGTTGCCCTCTCTCACACCAGAGCCACATCAAGAAGAGACTGTTCATGTTCCGGTTTGGGGATCGCAGGACGCGCATGAACTGGGTCCATGTGCAGAATCTGGTGCAGGCGCACATGCTGGCTGCTGAGGCCCTCACCATGGCTAAGGGCTATGTGGCTGTAAGTGTCCTGAGACGTCCCTGCCCCACCCATGCAGTCATGCCTCAGGAGTCCCAGGGACACTGGGTTGTGTAGAAGCTTCAGAGAGCAGAATTAGCTCTTCTCAGTGACCCTGTGACACCACAGCTTCAGACTGAAGTGTGTCACAGTTAGTTTCCACATCTTGCTGAAGAAAACCGAAGTACAATGAGGTTGAGTGAGTCCATCAGAGTCACACAGCTAGTCAGTGTGGTTTCCCTGTTATCAAACTTGGGGACATAATCTGAAGAAGCCAAGTTCAATCACTCCTTTAGAAGCCAATTAAAGGAGTCAAATTAGGTCAAGAGCTGGTGGCACATGCCTTTAACCCCAGAGGCAGGTGGATCTCTGTGAGTTTGAAGCTAGAGTGGACTACAGAGTGAGTTCCAGGAGCAGACCACGTAGAGAAACCCTGTCTCAAAAAACAAAAACAAAAAAACCCCCAAAAGTCAAATTAGTCAAATTATTAATAAAAAGTAAAAGAGGGACAAAAGGACCCAGTCTGCTTTGGAATCCTAAAGTGATGTTAAAGTTTAACAGAGTCCCAGAAATATGCACTTCTTGGCAGTCCTGGACAAGATATAGGCTGTCCACCATTGATTCACCACTAAGTGGACTTGGCTCTCATCTGGTAAGCTGTTGCAATGGAATGAAAGGGATATAAGCTCCCCTCTGGCTGTTTTTCCAGCATGAAATTCCTGAAGAAATCCCCATTTCTTTGGGGACCCATTGTTTCAATAATCAGATGGTCAGGGTCGGGCGGTGGTGGCTCACGCCTTTAATCCCAGCACTTGGGAGGCAGAGGCAGGCGGATCTCTGTGAGTTCGAGGCCAGGCTGGACCGACAGCCTCCAAAACAATACAGAGAAACCCTGTCTCGTAAAAACCAAAAAAAAAAAAAAAAAAAAAAGTCAGATGGTCAGATTGGCAAACACCTGGCCCACGGTGTCAGCATCTCTCTAGAATATCATCATTTCCACCAAGCCAGTTACATCCCCTACTAAGGTGTTGCCCAGGTCTGTCCCCAGAACTGCTCACGAGGACAACTGGGCCACAGCAGCAGCTGGGAGCCGTGAGAAAGTGTAGAATCAGGCTGTGGGCAGACATCTGACTGCGTCCGGTCTCTCCTGTCACCCTCAGAGTGGGCAGGCGTACTACATCAACGATGGGGAGAGCGTCAACCTCTTTGAGTGGATGGCCCCACTGGTAGGTATTCTGGTCCCCTAACCCAGAGGGAGACTGTAAAATCCCATCCTCCGCCCTTACATCCTTTCCTACCACCAAACCCCAAGAATTTACATTAGGAAGCCCTGGCAGTGGCATGCCTGAGCGGCACTGGGTATAGCTGGAACTGGACCGTGGCTGCCCCTTTAGGATACCATGTGCTCCCTGATTTTGTCACAGACCTCTTCCAATTTGCTTCCTGATTTACATTGATTCTGGCCATGTGGGTCTTCTGTTGTTTCTGGTTTTGATGAATCCCAGGGCCCATGCTAAAGCAAGTGGCCTTCCATTGAAAGGCCGGGTTTGGTTGCAAGCCCTAGGCTGGTATGTAGAAGGTCACTAGAGCCCAGAGGGAAGAGCTCGGTCTCTGAGAACCCAGTCCTCTCTCAGCAGCCCATAGTCTCCTTAGGACCAGGCCTGTGTGGAAAGTGAACACAGAACCTGGGCTAAAGTGCCAATGTTCCATTTGAAGAGCAGGGGCTATGAACACTGGCTGCTCTTCCAGAAGACCTGGGTTTAAGTCCTAGCACCCACATGGCAGTTCACAACTCTCTGTAACACCACTTCCAGAGGACCTGATGCGTTCTTCTGGTCTCCACGAGTAATAGTCATACATACCAACAAAACACCCATGCATGTGAAGGGTTTTTTTGTTTTGTTTTAATTAAAGAACATCTTTTTGGGCTGGAGAGATGGCTCAGAGGTTAAGAGCACTGCCTACTCTTCCAGAGGTCCTGAGTTCAATGTCCAGCAACCACATGGTGACTCACAAACATCTGTAATGAGATCTGGTGCCCTTTTCTGACCTGCAGGCATAAGTGCAGGCAGAACACTGCAAATAAATAAATCTTCTTTTGGGAGAGGGGTTTCGAGACTGGGTTTCTCTGTGGCTTTGGAGGCTGTCCTAGAACTAGTTCTTGTAGACCAGGCTGGTCTCTAACTCACAGAGATCTGCCTGCCTCTGCCTCCTGAGTGCTGGGATTAAAGGTGTGTGCCACCAACACCCGGCTAAATGAATCTTTAAAAAAGAAAGAACTTTTATTGAGATGTAGCTTATAAGCTATGCAGTTCACCTAAGGAAAGGATACTATTCAATATGGTTTTCCTTTTTAAATTATATTCAGAGTTATACAATCATCATCACAATTAACTTTAAAGCGGGTCTTCATCTTCAGATAAGCAAAACAAGCCTGTACCTGTTAGCAACACTGCCCCCTGTGTATCCCTACCCCACCTCTACCCTCAGCCCACCCCACCCCAGGCAACTATGGGTCTGCTTCTCTTGCCTCTCTTGACTTTTTTACATGGATGGACTCATTGGTTAAGTGACCTTCTGTATCTGCCTTCCTCTCCTTAAGTTTTCAAGTTTGATCTGTGTTGTGACATAGATTGAAACTTCATGCCTTTTTTTTTTCTTTAATGTATTGATGGAGATGTCCTTCTGTATATATGTTTCTCTTATTGGTTGATGAATAAAACACTGTTTGGTCAATAGAGGCAGGAAGATAGGCGGGAGATGAAGAGAATTCTGGGAAAGGTAGACAGATAGAGACATCGTGTAGCAGACTAGGAATTACAGGTCCGGACCCTTCTCCAGTAAGATAAGACTATGTAGAAATACTTAGATTAATAGAAATGGGTTAGTAATTAAGACAGAGCTAGCCAATAAGAAGCCCTAGATATCGACCAACAGTTTTATAATTCATATAGCGTCTGCGTGCTAATTTGAGGCTGAGAAGGGTGTTGGGACCTGGCTGGAAAGAGAAACTCCAGCAACAAAGTATGTGTGTATGAGCACAGCTGTATATACAAGCGCACATGTATGTGAATACACCTTTGTCGAGGTCAGAGGACAACTGTGGGTGCTGTTCCTCAGGCACTATTGTCTCTCACTAGCTAGGCTGGCCAGTGACCCTGCACTGGCCCTCCCAACCCCGGCCTGAGATTATGTTACTGTGTGTTTGCTTGGAGTTTCTGGGCTAAGCGGTTACTCCAGCTTTAACTTTTCATTGACGAACTGCCAGACTGCTTCCCAGAGACTGCAGGATTCCTGTTTCCCCAGCAGGAGGGGGCGGGGGCATGTCCCATTCTCTCCAGCCTGCCAGCCTTTGTTGGTTTGGCTTTGACCAGAAGAGGTTTCCTGCAGGTGGACAGCTCCATTCATCCCCGGCCAGCCTGTTACTTGTGAATCTCCCTCGGCCTTCCACCCACTTGCTGGGTCTATTCTATTTCAATTCTGGAAGGAGGAAAAAAATAAACGGATTCTACTTAAGGGCCTGGGAAAATGTTCAGGTGTGGGTGGATATAGTAAATGATGTGAAAGATTCTAAGTTTAAAAAAACCTGCCCTAGAGGCTGGCAAGAGATGGCTTAGCAGGTAGAGTCCCATTGCGAAGCCTGACAACCTGAGTTCAATCCCCAGGACCCACATAATGGAAGAAGAGAACTGATTGAAGCAAGTTGTCCTCTGACCTCCATATGGCATCAATGCATGTGCATCCTGAACACACACACACACACACACACACACACACACACACACACACACACACATTATCCTATGTTTTCAACTACTTGAGTTATCCCAGTAAAGGAGTGGATCTCATTTCAAGACTGGTGCACAAAATCATCATCATGCCGGGCAGAGTGTGAACACCTTTAATCCCAACACCCAGGAGGTAGAGGCAGGCAACTCTCTGTGATTTGAGGCCATCCTGGTCTATAGAGAGAGACCCTGTCTCAAAAAAAAAATTAGCGCGGGCTTGGAGGGCTCTCTGGGCTGGTGGGGTCCTCTGCCAGCCAGGATATGGGAATTAGGTGATTTTCCTCATCAACCAGTCCCTAAACAACCTGTTCTCATGTCAGACCATGTTCCCTTGCAGTTTGAGAAGCTGGGGTACAGTCAGCCCTGGATCTGGATACCAACTTCCTGTGTTTATCTGTCAGGTAAGGAACAACATGGGTACTAAAGCCCCTGTATTCCAGGTACACACACAACATTCGTGCTTTACATTATTGGAAACCCGGGGCCTGGATTATGGTGAGGCCAAGGAGGCACACAGGGGATGAGGGTAACGGAATTAAATAGGTTGTCCAGGTACATGCAGCCTGACCCTGCACTCAGAAGAGCAAGTCTCTATATTGCCACAGCTGCCCCCATCGACTCATCACAGCCCAGCCCTACTTAAACTTAGCCTCTTGCAAGGCTGGGATGACTGTAATAGAAGAGGCTGGAGCTCTGAAATCTGCCTGAAGTGGTGGTGGGGATTCAGCTTTGACACCTAGACCTATGCTAGAAGGCATGGTGCCTGGTGGGACAGAGGGTGCCCTGAGGCTCCCCCTCTTCCAAGTTCACCCTGATGCCAGGGCTTCTTTGGGATGTGTAGAGATTTGGACCTTGGATTCTCCCCCTGTCCCTGCTCCCACTCCCAGGTCCTACCAGCAGACAATGTGTCCTACTGCTGCCCTCTGCTGGCTTCCTTCCAGTCAGAATACAAGTAGGCATCAGGCTTGGGGTGAGGTGTCCAAGGGAACAAGTGACCCTCAAGTCACAAAGGGCTGTGTTCCTGCCATATCAGAGGCTGGGCCTGCTGTTTTAAATGCACTGGGGATGTTTGTTACTGAAATCATAGACTTGCAAACTCATTACCCTGGTGAGTAACGTCTGCACAACACTATCATGATTACATGCCTCATCTGTAGCCCAGGTGATGGCAATTTGGGAGGATTGTATACACATATGCAGCTCTCTGTAGACTGGCTGCAGCCTGGGGCATCTTCACAATGGCTGTAGGTTAGAAACCCATGGACATTTGAAACAAGCCAAGTCTCAGCCACACCTCAAAGAAATGATGTCAGGATAGGAGTGGCAGGGAAGTAGCAGTGTTTCTTAGGATGAGAAGCAATTCCAACTCCTCCCTCTCCTACCCAAGTCAGTATATCAAAATAGGAGAGAGATGCCAGGTTGCAGAACATCGAGACTACAAAGAAGAAACCCTGAAAAACAACAGGAGAGAGAGCCAGGTGTGGTGGCACATCTGTGACTCCAGCACTTGGCAGGCTGAGACAGAAGGATCATGAGTTCAAGGTCAGCTTGGTTACAAAGAGAGTTCTAAGCTAATCTGGTCTACATAGTAAGATCCTACCTCAAAAGTGGAAGCTTGAGGGGGCTGGAGAGATGGCTCAGAGGTTAAGAGCACTGACTGCTCTTCCAGAGGTCCTGAGTTCAATTCCCAGCAACCACATGGTGGCTCACAACCATCTACAATTCAATCTGGTATATATGTAATAAAAGTGGAAGCTTGAAGACCAGCAAGATGGTTCAGTGGGTAAAGGTGCTCCCCCCCAACCCCAGGTTAATCCTTGAGCCCCACATGGTAGAAGGGAAGAATAAACTCCCCCAAGTTGTCCTGCAACTTCCACACATGCACCATGGCATACGTGCACATACACACATCAACACATACACAAGTTGCCGGGCAGGCATTGGTGGCCCACACTTTTAATCCCAGCACTCGGGAGGCAGAGGCAGGAGGGATCTCTGTGAGTTCAAGACCAGCCTGGTCTGCAAGAGCTAGTTCCAGGACAGCCTCCAAAGCTACAGAGAAACCCTGTCTCAAAAAACAAAACAAAACAAAAAACACATACACAAAATAAGTAAATGAAACATAATTTGAGAGTAGTTGAGAATAGAAACACCAAGTCTTCTCAGATTCATTTTCACTCTTCAATCCTTCAATATCACTCAGTGCTAACTTATTCTGACCTAAAGAAATCCAGTGACTTTTTTTTAAAAATAATTTATTTATTGTGTATACAGTATTTTGTTTGCATGTATGCCTGCAGGCCAGCAGAGGGCACCAGGTCTCATTACAGATGGTTGAGAGCCACCATGTGATTACTGGGAATTGAACTCAAGATCTCTGGAAGAGCAGCCAGTGCTCTTAACCTCTGAACCATCTCTCCAGCCCTTCAGTGACCTTTGCAAAGGGACCCTGTAGCTGACCTTTGTAAAGGGACTCCCTAGCCAAGCAAACACACACCCCCAATGGATTTGTCCTGAGGGTCCCTCTCACCCGCCCTCTCCCACAGCTGCTGTGATGGAGTACCTGCACCTGGCATTGAGGCCCATCTGCACCATCCCCCCACTACTCACCCGCAGTGAGGTAAGTGTGCTGTATGGGGTCAGAGAGCCCCCGCCCTGAGCCTTCCCCTCCCTTCCACATCTCCACTGCTGCTGGACACCTCTGGCACAAATACCTCTCTCAGGTCTCAGAATCTTCCATGTAGGCCCAAAGCTACAGTCTGTCCCTTTACAATGCTCCCTAATGACTAAGGTTTTGCTCAGACTGTTGTAGACTGAAAATTGAATCACTCCAAGCAAACTCCATAGCTGTTTGTCTAGCCATGAGTGGCTTATTTTCTAGCCAGATCTGGGGCTCCCAAAGGCAGGCTCCATAGCAAGCACTATGAACCCCAACTCTGAATATACACATGTGCACACTCACACAAATATACACGTGTGCACACTCACACAAATCCCCAGTGGCTCTAGGCTCATCATTCATACTTAACACTAAGTGTATATTAACCGTCTTCTATGCACAGAGCATCAACACCATTCTCAAAGTTATGATGCACAACTGATTGGGGGGTTGTTTCTTTGAAACAGGGTCTCACTATGTAGCTCTGGATATCCTGGAACTCACTGTGTAGAGCAGGCTGGCCTCAAACTTGCAGAGACCACCTGCCTCTGCCTCCTGAGTGCTGGGATGAAATACACACACCATCAGACCCAGCTGATGTGTAGTTTTATATTTGCTTAGCATGTACTGTTCAAAAAGAGGACATCTTGGGCCTGTAGAGACGGCTCATCAGTTTAGAGCACTTACTGCTCTTCAGAGGTCCCAAGTTTGATTCCCAGCACCCACATGCTGGCTCACAGGCACCCATAGCTCCAACCCAAGGAATCTGACACCCTCTTCTGGCATGTGCGTGGTGCATGTACATGCATGTAAGCAAGGTATCAGCACATATAAAATATAAAAGCTTTTTCAAAAAGGCTGTCTTAGGTAGACTGTAAACAGTTAGGCAACAGGTGGTATTTAGGGTCTCTCTCATTTGATTCCTTCCTCCTAGTGCTAAATTAGGAAGGGCAAAAAGATGATGTTCTCTACTGTATGATAAAGAACTGGGCACTAGAGAAATCAGTGGCTTATCCAAGATCACACCACATTGGAATTGGCTTCAGGATGCCAAGTTCAGCACTCCTTAAGCTAGAAGGAAACGGGAGGGTGGAGAATGTTTCAAAGAAGCCACTGCCTATCATTGTTCCTTTGAGCATCCAGACTGATGGAGGGTAATGACAGTCCTTTAGTTTCATTTGATATTTCCTGCTGAAACTATTTCCCTGCCTGAAAACAGAGGAGGAAGTTAGTCAAGGTACTGATGGAGTTTGAACTCAGACCTAAAGCTCCATCACCAACTTGGAAAACACATTGGGAACAGGGATGCTGCAGAGCTGTCTGTGGCCAGGCTGGAACTTGGCCATCCTTCCTTTTGTCTAAAGTGTGGGTTAACTGGCAGGCTCCAAGGCATAGGCTCTGAGGTAGCTTGGGGCTATGGGTCAGTCGCCCTCTGCTGGTCAGTCTGTGAGACAGCAATTAGCTCTATTGCTTTGAAGACCTTTCTCTCCTTGAGCACCTGCTATGTGCCAGGCCCTGTACTGAGCACTGGAGGTAAGAAGACTTGGTCCTTACCCCAGGAAGCTCACAGTCTAAAGAGGAAGATGTTCCAGAAACCAGACAATTTCAGCTACCCTGAGATGAGGAATTTCCCAGCATGCAAGAGGCACCTTTCCCCTGAGGTCACTGGTAAGCCTGACCTCTAAGAACAGTGCCAGGACCTGCTTGTGTAGTTCACAGCTTCATCTCCACACAAGCGGTGCTTGTTTGGTTTTAGGACATTTGTTAACCTGCATTCCCCCAAGCCCTGTATGTTCTATCTGGGGCAAGAAGGACAAGAACTGGTCTCTCTGCTTCCCTCATTGGGGTCCCTGGATCAGTGATTGACCCCATGGGCTTGTCTGTGCCATGGGAGAAGCACGTGGCCAGTGTCCAGCTAGAGAAGAATAAAAGGCCAGGTGGGAGGGCATCTCCAGGCCCCAGAATGAGAAAGAAGACGGTCTGGGAAGTGGCTCTTCTGTGTGACCCAGGCAAGTCACTTAACCTCAGGTCTGCAGTTTCCAAGCATGCAAAGAGGAAACAGTGTCATCTCAGAGGATGAGTGTATATAAAGGCCACACCAAGCACAGTGGGAATTCTACAATCGATAGCGTCATTTATTACCCTGGAAGCAGGTGGCCCCAGGCCAACTGGAAGCAGGGCAAATGCTGCTCCGACTTAGACAGGAATCACTGTGCGTAACTGAATTCCTCTCTTGGGGACACTTAGTTAAGCAGCTGGGAGGGCTGGAAGGCTGCTCTGGAGGCCCTGCCGGCTGCAGTTGGTACTGGGCTGGCAACAGGAAGTCAACATCCTTCCTTGGAGATGTTTTTCTGGAGAGCTGCTCCCCACTACAGGCAGGAGGCCTTCGGCCTCTCTTGGTGTTCAAGAATGCATCTAGCCGGGTGGTGGCGCTCGCCTATAATCCCGGCACTCAGGAGGCAGAGGCAAGCGGCTCTCTGTGAGTTCAAGGCCAGCCTGGTCTACAGAACGAGTTCCAGGACAACCTCCAAAGCAATACAGAGAAACCCTGTCTCGTAAAACCAAAAAAAAAAAAAAAAAAAAAAAAAAAGAGTATGCGTTTAAGGCCTCCAGAGGTCCAGAACGGCGCTAGGCTGGGAAGAGAAGCAGAGACAAGTATTAAACAAGATGAGAATTTAGCCGGGCTGGAGGATGAGATGCAGAAAGGGCATCCAGGAGGCGGCGCCCTTCTGGAAAAAGATCTTAGAAAGGACGGTCCTCCCCACCCCCACCCCACCCTGCCTCAGAAAGGTATGGCAGGATGCAGCGGCCAGTCTTTGTTTGTTTGTTTTGTTTTTTCGAGACAGGGTTTCTCTGTATTGTTTTGGAGCCTGTCCTGGAAACGGCCAGTCTTTTTAAATGCCAGTGTGACGGAGAAACAGGCTGCTCTCCCCTTATCCTCTTGGTCGACCAGATAGAGCATGCTCAGCCCTCCCACTAGCCCTGCCCTCCGCGGCTCTGCCTCTCCCACAGGTGCTCAGCGTGGCTGTGACCCACACCTTCCAGATTGCCAAGGCCCGCGCTCAGCTTGGCTACACGCCGGACAAGTTCAGCTTCGCCGATGCAGTGGAGCGTTATGTGCAAGCCACGACCCCGCAGCCCCGCGTCTTCACCACGCTGACGCTCCCGCGGCTGCTGCTCCTGCTGCTGCTCCTGCTCGGCCTGCTGGGCCTGACCCTGCACTTCCTAGGGCTGCAGTCTTTGCAGGCGGCAGTGCAACGCCTCTGATCCCGCCCCCGATCACCAGTCACCTAGGGCTCTCAGAGCTTGTACCTGATTTAGGCACACCCCTGGATCATGACCCCGCCCCGATTCCTGGCCACGCCCCTGCTTCACCCTCTAGGCTTGTGGTATTCGTCCTCGTGTTTGGGCTCAGTTTCTCTGCTTTGGTCCATGAGTCTCAACCGCATTTCCCCCGCCCTCGGCTTCCTGATCCAGCGTCACACTTTTTTCCCAGGCTGGGCGAGGCGGTTGATGAGGTCGGAGCCGCCCAGCCTGCTGCTGCTGCTTCCCAGCCATTTCCAGGTTCCTACCCAGTCCAGCCCTCTCCTCCCTATTCCTCCCGATTCTTCCTGCTCTGGTTTTGCCCTTTCGGCCGCCACCCTTATGCTGAAGCCCCAACAATGTGGTTGCTTCTTTAGGGACAGGCCTAACTCATCTCTCTTGCTCGGTCCCCTTCCAGCCCTGCCTTTGGGGGTTTGTCTAAGTGTGTGAGTTCTGGTTGATGGAGTCTGTGGAATCGGACCTGTCTTCTGCTGCTTCTGGGGACAGTGGGGCCTCCTCCCTGCCATGGCTTTCCTTTGAGTTTATCCTGATCTTGACACAGATCTGTGTGTTGATTAGCTGGGGAGGGATGCCCAGCCCAGCTTGATATCTTTGTATCCTCAGTTAATGAGTGAAGATGACCCGACCCAGTACAGTAAAAGGTTTCAGTATCAGCAAAGGCAAGAAAGAAAAGAAAAGAAAGAAAAAAAAAACCTTAACAAAAGGAAATTGAATGTCTCATAAAAAAGTACCAGTATAATAGACAAAATAAGAGTCTGATCATATTTTATGGTTTAATTTGTGTGTACTTATGTGTGGAATCAGTTTGTGGTTTTTGCAGACAGCATCTCTCTCACTGGTTTGGAGTGTGGAGTGGTGATGCTGGCCAGGAAAGCCTAAGGATCCTCCCTGTCTCTTGCTTCCCAGCCCTGGGTTTGCAGGCCTATGCCACCACACACAGCATTTTGTTGAGTTCAGGTTCCCATCCTTGTGTGGCAAGCACTTTACCGACTGAGCCATCTCCCCAGCCTCCATATTTTATGATTTAGTATCATTTGTAGTTTTTCTTTTTTTAATTAATTAATTAATTTTTTTTTCGGTTTTTCGAGGCAGGGTTTCTCTGTATTGTTTTGGAGGCTTTCCTGGAACTCGCTTTGTAGACCAGGATGGCCTCGAACTCACAGAGATCAGCCTGCCTCTGCCTCCCGAGTGCTGGGATTAAAGGTGTGCACCACCAACGCCCGGCAATTTATTAATTAAAATTTTCATTTATTTCATATCCCAACCCAAGTTTTCCCTCCCTCCTCTCTTCCTGTTCCCTCCCCCTGGCCTCTCCTCTGCCCCTTCCCCCACCCTCTCTTCCTCTGTCTCTATTCAGAAAGGGGCAGGCCTCCCAAGGCACCAACAAAGCTTGGCACATCAAGTTGAGACAGGACCAAGCTCCTCCCCCTGCATCAAGGCTGGGCCAGGCAACCCAGCATGGCGATTAGGTTCCCAATCATTTGTATTTCTTGATGGGTAGTGGTGCTCACTATCACCTTTAAGAGTTTAAAGAGTTTAAGGCCCTAGCAGACAGCAAAGTAACTGCTGGCCTGTAGTGGATGGAAGAGAAGGTACTAGTCAACCTTCATAGGTTGTGCCTTTCACAGCATGTCCCTGTCTGGTAAATACAGAAGACTGTATAAGAGTTTTAAAATACACTAGGCAGGATTTTATGTGTGTATATACATTTTTTAATAAAGCCAATAGTGGGGCTGGAGACATGGCTCAGTAGTTAAGAGAACTGACTGTTCTTCCACAGGACCCAGGACAGGGGTTCAATTCCCAGCACCCACATGGCAGCTCACAACTGTCTGTAACTCCAAGATCTGACACCCTCACACAAGCATACATGCAGGCAAAATACCAATGCACATAAAATAAAAATAAATTGTAAAAAAGTATTAAAACTAAAAAAATCAATAGTAATCATTTCTGTTTAGTGACCATGCAGGAACCTGCATTTGTATGGCCTTGTTTCAGATTTGGGTTGAACTCTGGGGTCTACCTTCCTACAAATGGGTGACCTTCATACTTGCTCTTCCTGTTGCTATGGTGCAACACAACAACTTAAGGAAGGATTTATTTGACTCACAGTTGGAGGGTTGGGAAACTCAGTGTCAGGAACTTGAAGCAGCTGGCCATACTGTGTCTGCAGCGAGGAACAAGAGAGATGATGATTGTGCCTCCCCAAGCCCAGGGGTGGTGTTGCGCACTGTTGGAGTGGGTCTTTCCACCTCAACCCAATTGAGAGACTCTATCACATAATCCATCTTGGCATGCCTAGAGGCTAACCTAACCTAATCTAATCCCGACAGCTGTGGGGTTGGTCTCCTAAGTGGTTCCAGGTCCCCTCACATTGACAGTCCACACTAATCATCTCAAGTGGCAACTGGACTTCCTTCCTTCTCAGTATTTATTTGTATCGTAAATGCACATCCATTTCTCCAAACCCCCTCTTTCTACCTTCCCTTCCTGAGAATATGTTCTTAGGGCAGGAGAAGCATTATTGTCAAGCCAAGAGTCACTTTACTTGTTTTCTGGGTTTCTCCATATCCTCCCCATCCAAGACTCTGAAAGCAACAAGACAAAGGCCTGACTGAGCATGGGGCAACATGGATCTCTATCCCAAGAATCCTTCCTTCCTCTCTTTGCCTGGTGGAAAGGGATATGCCACCCACCCAACACACAAATTCAACCCTCGAAGGGTTTAGATGCTGCCCCCATTGACCAGCCCCTGTGAGACTCTCACAGGAAAGGCTGGCTTATTGAAAGGCACTAGAGGAGTCATATGCCCAATGGATGTCTTATTTATTCTGTGTGTGTATATGCGCATAAATCCAGGTCAGAAGGGAACTCAGAACTTCCCACCTGCTGCTTTGTGGGATCCTAAACTCAAACTCAGATTATCAGGCCCAGACACAAGGGTCTCTACCAGCTAAGCTGTCGGTTGGGCATATGATCTTGCCAATCCTCTCTTAGCAGGATTCATGGCTCCCTGCCTTCCTTTTCAAATCCCCTTTGACCTCAGTGATACCCACACTGTGTTCTTGTCTGGTTCCCTCACAGGTGTTTCTCTCTGCTCCCACCCCACCCCCATCTTAAGGTTATGTCCCACAGGACACTGTCCTAAGCTCTCTTCTCCTCTGTGCTCTCCCATCACCTCAGTCCCCAGGGCCTCCATACCTGACATCTGCTCTGAGTCTTGACCTGCAGACTTCTGTTTCTGCCCATCTGACCTCTTGCTCAGCAGCATGTTAGCCTCAGAATGAACTGTACTGACCTTGCCATCTTCCCCCGACACCTACCTGCTGTTTGTCCACCCTGCCAGAGGACAGGCACTGCCAGCTCATTCTTCTATTCTTCCTCTTCTTGGCCCAAACCCAAGCCTGGTCATCACTTCTGACCTGTTTCTCTTCTCCTTCAAAGCATTTTCGTCAGTGAGTGTTGCGATAGCTACTTCCAAAATGTCTCTTTCCCACCCCTTTGATTCTGCCTCTCCGTGCTACGAACCACTGTCCTTTCTCTGACAGGACCGAACGCCCCTGCTGGATTTTATGAATCCCAAACTAGAATGGACCACTCACCAGTCTGAAAACTGTTCACGGTTTCCCATTGCCCTCTGAGTTCAAAGCCTGAACGTAGCGTTCTTGGCCCGGTGTGCCGCCCACCTCTTCAGCCTGGTCTCCTGCGCTCGGACCACCCTTCCACACAGCGACCCCTGACGGCCTCCACAGCACCCGCAGCTCTCCGGGCTCTCACTGGCTGGCCTCTGGGGTTTCCCTTTTTATGGAAATCTTTCTTCCATCTTCCTTGTCCAATTTCAGGTCCAGCTAAATGTCCCCTCTTTGTCCCCAGAGTCAGGTAAGGAGATATCGTGTGTAACTAAACGATAATGTCTCTGAATCAAACGAGTTCCTCATATCTGCCTTGTTTACCCTGAAACTTCACCGTGAGCTGGGTTTCTGGCCCAGAGTAGGACTTGCATAAATAGTTGTTGGACAAATAAAGCACTGGGGGGCCACTAAGTCGCGCCTACAGACCACATAGGGGAATGAATGAAGCTGAGAACTCAAGATTGGCATTCCTACGAGGGACTCCACCCTACCCAGGAACCCAGCCCTCCGTAGTGGGCTGACACCCACCAATAGAGGTCAGCCAGCCCCGGGAAGGGACCCTCTCTAACTCAGGTTATGCTCGCAGTCACCCACAACCATTTTTGCTCTTAACAGAGACCGTCGAAGTGTGCACTAAGACCCAGATCCCTTGCTGGGGATTTGCAAGGTGTTCTTGACTCACTGCCCTGAAAGGGGGAAGGGATTTTGTTTTGTGTTTTGGTTTTTAGGGAAGAAAATTGGTCAAGAAAGACGTTTGTGTACAAGGCTAGAGAGACCTCTTTCCTCGTACTGTTCATATTTTCCTTCTTCATCTTATGCTTTTAAAAAAAGAACTTCAGAGGGAAAGAGGCAGAACCAAGTACAAAAAACAGATGTGGCAGCGGTGGGATTCGAACCCACGCCATCGAAATGACTGGAGCCTAAATCCAGCGCCTTAGACCACTCGGCCACGCTACCTCCTGCTTTCTGTCCTGGCCATTCAGAGTATATCAGTAAGATGACGCTTTGTAAGCCCCGCCCCTGGGTGTTTCTGAGCCTAATGTGAGTTCAACCTTTCTGCACATAGTGACATCCACTATTGGTTTCCCTATGCTTTGGTTTCTGGCACCAGAAGCAAGCAGGAACGTACCACTAAAAAGGAAAGGACAGCCCCTGCGTGTCAACCATGAGCACTTGATCGTAGCGTGGGATAAGTTGAGTTTTGCATTTTTCACTGGACGTGATGCTTCCTGAGGCCACCTGGGGGCAGTGCTGCGCTGCTGCTTCCCTCGCTCGACTGGGTGGGGCGGTCGCCGGGGAACCCGGTTTGCACCTAGCTCATCCTGAGGCCTTTGGCACTCCTACTTCAATCTGTAATCTCGGTACCCGTGGCCGCGCGGTATACATCACCAGCGTTGTCACGGATCTTTTGTTGATGTGGACTCCATCGTTCTTATCATCACATTTTACGAAGTGGGCAAAAGACTTGATCATCTGAGCAAGGCTAGCTTTCTCCGTCTCTCAAGACCCACGTGGATGAGGACTATTTCAGATGTTTTTAGGAAAACGAATTAACTAGAGAGGATCTAGCAAACTTTCTTTTACTACTATTTCGAATTTTGAAGATCTGCTTGAAATCTTTAAAACAAAATGTAGTTTAAATTTTTCCTCTCTTCTGATATCTTAAGTTTGCTATTTCTTTTTCTGCAGCTTTAAATCCTCCACGTTTACTTTTTGCAAATTTTATACTTAAATAGGGTCATCCTTGCAATGATTAGGGATTAGGGAAGATAGAAAACATAAAGGAAGGTGAATGGATATGCTAACACCTCTACACTACACACTACGCAACACCAACTGGAGAGGGCTGTTCACACCCAAATCCCCAGCTTTGTATGTTACCATATGGGACAAAGGGATTTTTTTTATTATTAACCCACTTCTTTTTTTTAAATTTATTCATTATCTGTACAGTGTTCTGCCTGCATATATCCCTGCACACCAAAAGAGGGCACCAGATCTCATTACAGATGGTTGTGAGCCACCATGTGGTTGCTGGGAATTGAACTCAGAATCTCTGGAAGGGCAGTCAATGCTCTTAACCTCTGAGCCATCTCGCAAGCCCCTGGGTTTGTTTTTGTTTTTGTTGTTTGTTTGGTTTGTTTTTCAGCTATGATTGAATTACAGAACTCATGAACAGGAAAGTAGATTCAGGTGTGTAGATTCACAGACCTGTAACCCCCCACGTGGGGGAGGCAGTAGGATCCGGTGCTCAAGATCATCCTTGACTGCATCCCTAATTAGAGGCTACATGACCTGTTAGAGACCCTGTCTCAAAAATATAAGGATAGGGAGATTAGCCTAGATTATCCAAGTGGCCCTGAAAAGAGAG